GTATTTGGCCTGTAACTTGTTGTTGGCAGAAAAATTTGAGAAATATTTTGCCTTACTTATTTTTACCGTCTTGTACTTTCTTTAGTTAATACTGAAATCTCTTTTTCTGACTATTGAATTTTAATTTTTATATAGCCGTTTATATTTGGATTTTTCCTCGGAATCATTATTCTTTTGTAGATTTTTTTGGTATCGTGCACCTCCAAATTCTAAATGATTTAAGGGACGACTTAAAATATCAGGTTCCTTTTGAAACGACTTCTTCCTTTACTATTTAATGGAACGCATTTCCAGTTAATGTTGTTATAACCTATGTATAGCGTTACGACATGGTTTTGTTTTTTTTGCGAAAACTATGCACCGTCAAATAGGATTTAAGCCCAGCCTAACTTAATTTTTACAATAATTAACTTTGCACTTGACTGGTTCTAGCCGGAATTTGTACAAAGTACACTTTACTGATTATGTAGACCTATTAATTGCTTCAGTATACACACATATACATATGGATACAAAGTTGTTGTGTTTACATACAATGTTTGATTTTTAAAGTACTGAAGCCTTGTTTACAAATGGACTAATTTGATTAAACCAAATATAAGGCCAAGGTAAAGTAGCAAAAGAACGTTCAATTGAATGATTTTGCAACATGTATTTGCGACAAAAGGCGCGTGTGAGAGGGTGTTGATATGAGACAGCTGGGTTTTAGTGAAAGAAAGGAAATCGTGAGCAGTCAACATTATTTCATCGATTAGTACATTTTATATAATCCTACTTCTTTGTCCGAATACATGCTAAATTAGGTTTTAGCTGCTCTATTTAAAAAATAAGGGTTGTTTGGGAATAACATAGGAACTACATTCCGTTTATTGGGAATTGGTGCGTTTATTTGCGGAAACTGAGACGAATAATACCAGTTTGCTACAATCAAAATATTCTTTGCCGATCAATTGTGAATATTATTTTGAATGTACAAACTGTGCGTGATACCCAAGTGAAATAATTTGCACAAATGCGGTACGTTTACAGATACATGTCCTTTAGGTCATGGATTTTGAGATTAACTACCCTGCATTATTGATGCTGCATTTCCACGTTGAGGTGCCATATCCACATTGCAGCGCAAAATCTTGTTGATTCGGTGAATAAGTTCATTAAGTGTTGAAGTGTTTGACATTTTTTCTTAGGCATCTGGCAGAAATTTCTTGTTTAATTTCGACTTAGAATGAAAAAAATGTATAATTATATTAAAATTAGTGGCAATGAAGCATATCAGAAAGTAAATGCAAGTACTCCAGGTCTTTTCTCATGCCTGTTTAGATTGTAGCTTAACGTCATTATTTTTGGTTAAATTAACCCGGACATATACAAAATCAAAAACTAAGAGGCAAGTTCTAAAATGTAACAATGGCCTTACAATGCTCTCTTGACAAAGCAGTGCCTCTTAGTTTATGATACAAATTGACACCAAGCTAAGGTCCCACTGTAAGTAGATAATTTTTAGTACGTAAGCTTAATGATTAGTAAAAAAAGGCCAAGTGACAACTTCTTTCACAATTTTCCAAATTATAACTCGAATATTTACTGCATTACTTAAGATTTGAAGACCTAAATGTGGCCTATACTTTCGCTCTTAAATATTGGTAAATTAATAAAATAATAAATGACTTAAAATTTGCGAAGCAACCTCAGTTACGAGACCTACAACGATTGCTGCAGGGCGGATATGCAGCATCGAATGCTTCAGTCTCGAAGGCAACGCTAAATATGCGCTCACAATGGACCATCGATGTAACTGGGTAAATTACGCCATGCAATGATCGAGGAATATGTGAACCATTGGTAAAATATTTTGATGGCGCTTGATTAAGAGTTATAAATGGGAACAATACTTCCGAAAAAAAAGTGGTTCGGATTTATTATCTGTCCATACTTTGTTATATACTTCCTGTTTGTCACAGTCTACTGTAGCGTGCGAATAAGTAACGAAATCAATATCATATTGAAAAGATGTAGGGGTATTTTCTAATGAGGAGGGACTCTGCCTTCACCTGATGCGTGGACAAGGGTATAAACACACGCACCCACACACGCACTCCCCATACGCATTCACGAGAAATTGCGGGCTGAAACGAGTGCGTTTTCATTGGCTTGCCAGGCTCAAACTTTCGCAAAGCCAATTCGCTGGTCCTCCCTCCCGATGATGTTTGTGTCACCACCGCTGCCGTCGTCCAACATAATGATTTTATGACCTTCAAATGCGGAGCCATCCAAGCCTCGTTCAGATAATGTGAGTTATATCTTCCATAACATCCCAGAATGAATTAATTAAATACACTTAACTGAATCACTTAAGGTATCATCCTTCTATGCTTTTGCAAAATATTTTGAAATAACGCCAAGCAGCATATCACAAATGGTAAAACCTCAAAAGATCACATTTAGATGAAAAGGGAATTTCATGTATATCAAAAAAATGTGCTTTCCATCACAAATTATTTATCAAAAGGTCTAGTCAAATATAAGTCACTCAGAATGCCATGGAATCGTTAGCATGACCCAAAATGAGTCATTTTGTAGGTAACCACTTATTCCTAAATCATGGACCCTTGTTAGAAAACTTGCTGTTAGTCATTAAACTAATCTATTCAGCTAATTTACCGATGTTTAAGGTTATTATTAGCAGAACTAAAACATGAACAGACACATGTCGGGAAATATGTTTACTTAAGAAAGTAAACACAACTTGCTCACTTCAAATTTTACTTCGATTTTCATCATTAAACTCAAGAATTTTTGAAAGCAGCCCAGATAAATGATGAAACTCGACATTATTTTTAACAAAGTAATTCATACGTATTGAACCAAGCAAGATAGTATTGACTCTGTGATACTAAAGCTTCAATAGTTTGACAAAATTGTTTGAACTAAAATGAGAGTAAAATTATTCCGTGATTTCGAAATTACGGTGCAAATTCGATGTGTAAAGGAGTAATTATACAGTTTCCTTGAATTTTTGCAACTAAATTCAAATTGTTTATTAAACTACCTTTAAATTGCGGAAGAGAAACCGATACAGTGGGAAGTGAAATTCTAGAATAGTTTAGTAGAAGGACGCCGAGAAGATGTGTGGACCGAGTATAAATGCACTTGCGGGAAAGCAGCTAATTAATTCCTGTGTAAGTTTGGATTAGTTTAAATTTCCCGAAATTATCAACCCTCGACTGACTTCTCAAAAACTAAAAATAAACAAATCACAGAAGTTGTTGAATAATTGACAATTTAAAGAGCCCCGACTTAATTCTAGCCATTCATTTTAAAAATTGTGAATCCAATGCGCATAAGACATGAAAATAAAGCTGTATGTCGAGGCGTATATTTTCATACATAATTAATATGGAGGTCTTGAACAATTAAAGTTAGCAGAACAATAAAGTGGCATCTTCATCAAGTCACTAATTATAATAATTTGAACAGCAATCAGAAGACCCAATACTTGTTTTAGACGGTAAAGTTGTGAAACCGGTGTAGGAGGTGAAGGTGCCGGTGATTAAATGGAAGTCTGGCCGCTTATTCTGTGCATTCACCTTCAAATGCAGTCACTTTGCCTCGCGCTTTTCACATCTTCCTCAGCTACTGTTAGTCCCGAGACTCGAAACTTCCCCTGCCGTTTCCACCGCTCAGATGTTACGCACTGCGCCAGTCAATACCATATCGCCCGCATCCCTGACGAGATGCAAAGCTACGGATTTGGCTTTGGCTCGGTGGATGATACCGAAACAATGTGCAAGTATGAGCAGTGGAATTCGTTTGCATTGCATTCACTTTGATCACAAATAATGATTATTGCAATTCCATAGTAAAGTATGACTTATGAATGAAAGACAACCATGGCAACATATTTCAAGGCTCTACCATTACTGCTATCTAGGATCTTCATCAGTAATTTTGGTGTGAGAATTATGAAAAGTATACAAAATATACAAATATGGAAAACTCATTCTTACATTGGGCCTCAATATTTTATTACAATTGGTGTTGTCAAATGTTGGCTTCGTAAAACACCACTTTTTAAGCAGACGCCATCTGCTTTCTTTGCTTTTCGTTTATTTGTTTTGAAATTATCAAATGGAGCTGTATTTGAACAATTTGTTAAACTATGATCAAGCATAAAGCAATTCCCTAGACTATGGTGAATACATTGTAAACTATGCACATACATAATCATCTGTATAATTTTCCGTTATTATTAGTAGGGGTTTGCTAGGAGAGGCTGGTATCAAAAAATTGGTGCATATTTAATCAGAGTGTACCGAAAATAAGAACTAGATTTTTGAGAAGCTCAACCATCAACTAAGGTGATCAGATCATAAACGAACTGATATTACTACATTCTCCTTGCTTTTAGAGGATGGAAGTTGCAATATCCCTTAGGTAAAATTAGATGAAAGGCACTTTTTCATCATTTGCAAATTGAAAATTATCCAGGTCTTAATTAGGAGCATAAATGAGAAATATAGGTTGGACAACAAATTTGGATAAAATTACTCGCGTACTGCTGTAAGTCAGAAAATGTATTTTTATTAGCTTTGAGGAAATATGTGCTCTTTACTAGGTACAACAGACTTCTTAAAATATTATAGCTTATTTTTGCAATCCTCTTCCTCCTTTCAAATGCTATCCCATGAATTGTGGGTATCTTATTTTAACGTATCTTTGTTGTGGCTTTCTAAACTTATACTGATTGAACTTGGTTCAGTACCGTAGTTCCAGCCTTTGCGCAGGATGAAAATACACCATTCGTTTTCTCAATGCAAAAAAATAAGGAAAATTCCTTTTTAAATGAATTTTTCATCCTAGGAATATCGTCTTGGGTTATTTTATGAATGGCTTACTCCATACTAAAAATCTCCCAGCGTCACTTCACTTTGGATTCTCTAAATCAGCTATAATTGGCAGTTCTAGTACCAATATCCGCAATTGCTAAGACAGGGCCTATATAATTCACCATAAACTATTTTTGTAAGTTATTTAGTACTTATATGGAAATAACTTATGCGACCTTTACCATTTCAGACACTTAAATATACAAAAGAGAGTTCTTTGGAAGTAATGAATCATTAAGTGGTTTCCATTCGGAAGTTTTTTTATGGGGTGAATATGGTGATCTTGGCGGGGGCAAATGATTTAACGGATGATAAATGGGTGGGTTAAATATTCACTCAAAGAACTGTGAGGGGCACTAGCACCTAAACGTGGGGCCTCTTTCAACTTTCACGGATTTGTATTCAAATATATCATGCATCTCCTCCTTTTTGGGAAGATGACAATCTTTTTTATTTAACAAGGGGTAGTTAAACAAACATTGAATTAAAATACGCTGATATTTACTCTTGGATGTTTTATATTTTACCGATCTGAAAGCGCATGGATAATTGGTCAGGGCGGCACAATGCTCACGTCGGCACTATAAACTCTATTCTGGCGCTTTCTCCATTTCCTTGCAGGTCAAAGTGGCACTTATATGTACAAGTGTGCATAGGCGAGCGGGTGCTGCAGCGCTGTCGCGAAAATGGAGCCCCTGAGTTCCAAATTTCAATGTGGCAATTCATCTTTGATTCTCGACCTCATGAGAGGGCTGCTATATACCTCTGTAAACCTCATAACATGAAAAGTAAGCTACTTAAATGCCTGCTTACCTGTGCATTTTAAGGGGAGTTTCGGTTTTGATGGTGTGGTAGTGAACAATACTTAACTTTCGAATTAGAATATTAAATAGTCCTAGTGAACTTAAAAATTGGGCTTTTGTTGAAGTAAATAAATAAATATGTATTAGTAGTACTCAATTTTGGAGTACAACTGAGCGTTTAGTGTTGTTTCCTGCAACTGAATTTGACTGTATCAATTTTGTCTATAATCAGACCTATTCCACCTCATTAATACTAATTGTGGTCGAGCGATTTGATTAAGCACATCTATAAGTCCACTTGCCATCTATCATTAGTAATTTGGGAACGTCTCCATGAATTATAGAATATTGCATTGGGTTGCTTAAATCCAAATTACATAAAAATTAACGAAAAAGAGGTTGATTTTACACATTAATATTACTTGATAACACAATTTAGAGAATGATAATAAGTTAGAATAAAGCTTAACTATTATTTTATTCCCACGGCTGATATGCAAAATGCTAGAAGACCTTTTGCTAGATAAAGTGAACGCGGACAAGGTCATTAAAGGCATCGGTAAAGTTGAGAGTCTGCAGTTTAGAAACCCGTTGGCCTATAATTCAAACATGTACTTTCTATGCATATTCCAGTAGCTAGTGATCCCATAGATGGAAACTAATCGTGTCCCATCAATGTGTGATTGACGATTCCTAACTATTGAAACGTAAATTTCCTCTGTTCATTCATACACTTCATTAAGAGCATCTGGGCGCTTTTCAAGGGTCATGTTATGGCCTTCTTCATAGGCGTATCCTTAATCGGGTCTAAAATACCCTTTGTGAAGAATGCAGGGAAGGTGAATTGTAAAAATACCGAGGTGCATTTTAATCAAAGAGCATTTTAACAAAGGGATTTTTTGCATTTTTGATATTTGTGTCCAATTATGGTTACAAAATCTGTGGTTTATTCATGATAACATTTCTTGTTAACAATAAATTTGCTGGGAAATTGATGCATTGTTCAAATATTGCAAATCCGAATATGAGAGACTTTTCCAGCTGCCGTTAATTAAAATCAAGCCCCTTCTACAAGTGTGCGTGCAATAATATAAATTCATCCTGTTTTAGATGCTTGATACCTCGGATGAATTTGAAAAAGTTAATCAACCATAGTTATGTTATTTTTGAGATTTCACTTTAACATAACTTTTAGAAAGCATCTGTTAGATTTCTGCACCACCATTATTTTTATTTATAACCAAATTTTAATTTGCAAACCATCGAATATATAGCTGTCGCGCTACCAGGAGATTAAATAAGTTGTTTATATTGTTTCAGCTTGTATCAGAGTAGTTTATTTTTATGTGAAAAAATGGATTGATCCTGACTACAATGCATTGCGAAATATATTAACCTCACATAAATTAGATCAGACCGTGCCGCTCTTACTTAGTATGGTGAACCTTATTTGGGATTGAAAAATTTACCTAGTCGAGAACCGCTAACTGTTTTTACAATCTACAGCATAACATTGATTTTCACGTAGGAAATCTGGGTTGAGTTATTGATATGAAAAACGAATATTCAACATTAAATTTCTTGATGGCTACAAAGAGCGGAAGCGGCACAGGGCAATGTGAAGAAAAAGCACACCTTCTTGTTCCATCAAAAACCGCACACAGCTGATATCTATTTATGATTACTCTATCACGATTTAGCTAGTAACATTCGGCATAGAGTTAATGTTTTTGCAATCAACTGTAGTTCATTAGTGATTCATACTTTTTGCACATTCGTGAGCATGACTGTTGACCAAAATTTCTTGCCATGTCCTATAGGGTCTAATTTTAGTCATCTACACCATAAGTACCTATCATTTATGGGCGATTTTTTTAAAGGGGCGAATTTCATGTTGCTTTTTATTTATTTACAAGTACTTAATTACTGATAACTGTAAAATGTTAAGAAGCCCTTCACAAGAGAATGCGGAATGCCATACCTATAAACAAGCATACCAAAGATGCGATTCGTGCGACATTTGTCAGCCTTTTCATTTTCTGACGTCAAATTTCTCAAAATATAATACAGTTCGGTGTGAATTTTAGTCAAGGGTAGCATTCGATATAAATGGGCGTTTAAACGCTCATGCCAAGTTCCCCATTCATACGCTAGTTTTTCGAACCCACCGAGAACAGTGTTACAAGCCTCACGAGGCCAGCGCGAGTATTTGCTCGCAGAGGCAGTCGAAGGAGTTGGCGAGGGCGACAACACTTCTAGCGTCCCAGTCGGAGTATGTCTATCGCGACGACGGCCGCAGAGGCTCTGGCATCGCGCGCACCTCAGCCGCTGACTACGTGGCCCACATCCAACAGCAAATATCTGCTGCTCACTGTGAGTAAGTCTCTAACCTACTCGCTCTTTTTTGCTCACCTACTTTTTGCAGATTTTTATAATTGGAATAAGATCAAAGTGGTCGAATAGTCCTGTTTACGCCCCCTGGGAGTCCAGTTAACATGGATAAAAATGAAACTAATTAGAACTAAAATACTTGGTATTTTATAGCATCTACACTATAGATGATTTTAAACATCAAATATTTTACCATCTTTCAAAATTTGTTGCATCTATTAATTTCTTTAGTTACAAAAAGATCTTTTAACACAATTATGTACTAATATTCAATTCTCAGTTTACTGCAGAAATCAAAACCACTTTTCCGCTGATCACCCATTTCGATTGCCCCTTATTTTGCTTCACTATTTCAATACTTGCTCTAAATTCATTCCGTATGCATTATCTAGTTCAAAAAGCCTATTTTTATTCATTTGGTGAATTGAAAACCCAAATAAATTTCCAAGGAATTGAAATTTAATCAGTGGTTATAATATTTAACAGTCTCCGAATGACAATAGCCATTTCGTCCTTTTCAAAAATTTTGCTTGTTAGGCATGAAACACTCAAACGCATCATAAAATATGTCTGTATGTTTGGTGTGCAGTTGAGCGATAGACTGGTGGTGATAGCAGTAAAGAGGTCGCTCTAGTGCAACATCGTTTTATGGGGAATTTCGTTACAGGTTGAAGTGTGTGCATGATTTATTTGTGTAACTCACACTCCTGACGGGCTTTAAAGTTGTCATTTTGGCAAACTTGTCTTCGCAGAACCGGTTTTTTGCAAAAACACAAAGAAGCTTACCCCAAATTTAGCCCAGCTAGAAGCCTACTGTGCATGTCTTAGTGTAGTAGAGTGATACAGTAAATCGGATATTAAAACAACAAATTTGGTTCCTTGGGACTGTTTTATTTCTGTCACCATGCATAAACGTTTAATAAGGATTGAGGGTATTTTAGCGATACAGGCGGTAATGTTAAGGCAAAAATACTTCGCAAAAACCTTTATGAATAGCATGCTGTTTGTTAAGTAAAGTGCACAAAAGTCACAAAATTTGCTTTAACTTGTTGTCCATGGTACCCTTGAGTACCACTAGGCCTCCGCACTTTCTCACCCGTTCTAAGAATTATATAAGGCATAAAAGCTGGCCGCTGCTGGCTATATACACCACCCATGCACTGGAGCGTGATCGGTCGCTTTCATAATGTAGTGCGGTGTGAATAACTTTTGGCAAGGCTCTCCACTCACGGAGCGGCGCGCCGGGGGCGATGATTGCACTGCGATGAAATTTGTGGGTGGAATGGTCCTCAGTGCGGGAAGATAAAAGAGTAGCCATATCATTTGATAATTGTCCTAACCAAACACCTCATTAAATGTTGAAAACCTGTAAGCTTTTACCAAGTACTGTTGCTATCGGCGCGGGAGAGCAGTATAAAAGAGCTCTGCTGATACAAATGTTGATTGACAGTGCGCGAATCAAAGACCTTATGTAATGTGACTATGGCCAATAAAACACATCTGACTTTGGGCGGATTACATCGATTTCGGGATCCCCATCCACTTAATGCCATTTATGGGGCGGCGTTGGTCGCTTGAGCGATCCCTGAAGTAAACTAGATTAAGTTAATTACAGTCGAAGGCTGTAAATTTCGCGAAACAATCTTCTAACACAAGCCTTCGATGAAGGCAAATACAAATCCATAGCACTGAAGTTTATTTTTATGCTGCTTTACTCAAAAGTAATTATTTTGTATTAAGTAGTAAAATAAGTATTAACTTTGTCGGTAAATTCGAGGTTATCGTCGATGTGAGCACCAACCCTGACGTTTGCACTTCTCCAAAAATACACTTGTTTTCCTAAATAAGAGCTACGTTGTTAACATTGAAAGTGTATTGTGATCATATTTGATTCTATAACTAGTTAAAACAACATTGAACGTTAAGATTAGGCATGAAACTTTAACGAACATCAGATAAAACTTTACTGCAACCGTAACGTTTAACTGGCTGATTGAAAAACTGATTATTTTAACATTTTTGTTAATACTTAGCTTCAAATAATTAAAATGCCAAAAACCGCAGTCTCTGTGACTAATAAGCAGACGGGCAAAAGTTGACATGAAAATAAATAAACCTATATTGTGTACGCACCACCTGGAAATGAAAATCATTATATTCTGCACTCCACGCATATTTTAGCTATTCCTTTGATTCCAGGCTTCAGTAATTTTGTTTAAGCGGAATTGAAATTTTGGCACTAAATATTTGGACTTGACCAACTGAAGTGCATAAATTGGGACAAGCGGATTTTATCAAGAGATATTTCGGTAAATTATAAACTGTCAAGCATCAGAATAACATATATCCAACTGTTTTTCATATTTATTACCCACTAATGGAATGGGTAATAAACAACGCGTGAACTAGAAATGTGAAGGCACCGGTATCCTCGTTCCGCGGTAATTTAACAACACCAGGGTTTCTAATCATGAATCATGGCAAAAGCTGTGGGCTTTTGGCGTTATCAGGCTCCTTCATGCGTGCACAATATCACTGCATTTTTCCATTTCACCAAAGAAGTACACTTTAATTCAAAGAGCAAAGGGTGACTGGGAACAAGCATTATTTTGCACTCTTTACCGGTTATATAATCCAAAAATAATTAGTTATGATGTAGCGAAAGGGCACATTTTTAATGCAGCTTGCAATCCCATAATATGGTGCATTTACTTTTATTTCGACTAAAATAAATTCCAATAATATCTAGTGGCAATCTGTAAACAGTTTTCAGCCTACTTTGCACCTTTTTTATGGGGTGTCTTAAAATTGCTTTTGGCAGTAATATGCTGAATTACTGCAATGGATTCGACTAGTTTAATCATTATTGTAAAGGAAGATGGATAAGTATGTTGTAACATATTTAAAACGCCATCCAAATGAGCTTAGGCTGCGTAGGTTATCGAATAGTTGTGATAATATCGAGTTCTCACAAAATTGATGATGTCCTGCGCAATAAACATTTTCCTTCACGGTAAATCCTCGTTTCAATGCTAGTGATACCAAAATATAGATCTGCGCTTTTGATTGAGAAATATAGATCGCACAAGTATTAATTCGGAATCAAGATGAAGTTAATGTGTTATTGCTAGGATGTCAAGATGGTTTAGGATACAACTTTAATTCAGTTGGGTACACTATCAACAATAGGTACAGTTGAGCGTTTCTTTTACTTCTATTGAGGCGGTTTAGGAAGGATACCTTGATTTGTAGCTGCATATTATCAAGCGATTTTATGGCGAGTCGCTGGTGATGCTCTTGCTTCTTTTTTTCATTTTAAATCAGTGGATCTAACAACGCACGAATTCGAACTCAGGACTTATCTGATAACGTTTCATTTACATGCCTTATTTTATTCCCAGGGTAACGGAGGGGTTATTATAAAAGTTCACTTTGAAGCAAAATAAGTAAGTCCTGATGGAAAAAGACAAGCTTTGCGGTTACTGAGCTCCTCTGTGCATTGCATCTCGCTTGAATACGAATTCTTTTCTTATTATTATTTTGTTATTAGTTCCTATATAAATAAACGATACTAATCAGTTCAAGTCCTTTATTCAAAAATATGTCTCTTGCTCTTGTAAAATAACTTTGCCACCAGAGGGTTTTTTTGTTTTCTGGTCATTGATCACTTTAGGCGTTTAACAATCGATTGACCAATTGCAAGTTCTATAAATGGAATTAATCTTCTTCTCCCTCACACCCTTCCATATCTTGACTTCCAGAAATTCCTTTTCTAAAACATGCTTCATGTTTGAACAGAAACAGAAAACTTGCTGCCTTAAAATATTTTTTGCCTATCCGAACCAAAATTACTCTAATGGCTGACATTATTCTTCATTACATTTGCACACCTGGACCTCGAACCCTAACAGCCTATTTAATTTGGTGATGAAAGCAAAAAGAACTTTGTTTTCTGTCACCTAGCGCAATGTCCAAGGTGCTTCAGCCCGACGTAGGCACTGAGCTGGTACGAAAAGTTTATTAGTTAAATGAAAATGAAAAATGAAGTGAAAAACAATTTGCACGAAAATTATCACCAAAAATAGGCAGCGTCTTCGTGCACATATTCGATCTGGTCTAGTAACCCACGAGCTTTAAATTTGTGAAAACTTACTGCAGGTACAATTTGCAAGGACTTGAACCAAGATAGATCCACGTTTGATAAGTTATGCTTAATTTTTAAAACAAACAACGTCAACCGTTCAATTTGGCTTCTCTCAGCAACGGCACCGATATAAATTTTTATATCTTAGTCGAGTTCCCGTATTGCAGAGGCAGCAGAACACTAGCAACTAGTTATACTGTTTCGAGAATGCCTCAACACTACATAAATATGTTGAGGAGTCAACTCACTAAGTACTTCTTTTTGAGCATAACTGTCTGAATTTGCATTGCCTGTTTTCGCTTGGGATTGTGAAAAAGACAGTTGCCAAACATGAAAAATTATGCTTTTAACGAAACGACACTAATAGGTGAATTTAAAGTAGACGGACAGACTCAATTATCCATATTCACTCTTGCCTTGTACTACGGAAGCAGAAATTAGTAAAAATGAGTAAAATTCGGTCAATCCCGAGTCAATCAACAATAAAATGACTCAATTTCGACAGTTCTTCTGACGTTGACTCCTTAAGATCGTGCACCTACTCTGCTTAGTTAACTCACAGCGGCGTCATTTTTGCTGAAAGTTACACACAGACGCATAATACGGTACGAATAGCCCCATTATGAATGCCAGATGCTGAGAAGTCAACACAAATTGCCTTTAACCCAAGCAGCAATGTGTTGGTGACCATGACCTATTTCCCGATGCGTCACAGCACCTTCTTTACGCTCACTTAACGCCTACAGTTATCTACTCGCTTTGAGAGGGAAGACATTTCTATCTCATTGGTAAATTCAAAGCAATTCCCAAGTTTTAAAAACAATGTCGAAATTAAATAAATAGTAAATGAACAAACAGCCCCCACTAGAGATATGGGGAGAGGATAATGCACGTAGGCATGGTTAGAAGAGCATCAATGTGTTAATTTTTATTGCTGTGCTTAGTGGCTGCGCTTGGACAGCCCGGTCACGTTCGCCAGGCCGCGCAGGTGACAGCAAAGTGCACAAATTTAGCCTACAACGCACCCAAAGACCTCTGCCCCTCTCCAGCCCACCACTAACCCCATCACCATCCTGTCCACTGACACAGGCGGGGAGGGGAGTGGGGAGAGGAGCCAAAGGAGGTGTGGCTGGGGTGAGGTTGTGACAGGGATGTGAGGCGCGTCGCCTTCGTCAAATGCCAGGTCGCGGTATTCTCCAAAAAAGCAAAAGTACCACTTCGTAGGTCACATGGGTAAAGGAATGAGAGGGAAAAAATTACTGTTCGCTGCCGTGACTCGTGAGAAACAAGACAAGCATACACGTGCAGGAAGAAAAGCTTTCGGCTTTGGATGCAGCTGATCTTTTGAATGACTTTCTATTATCCAAGAAACACAAGAGTTGTGTACAGGTATACCGCCATAAAGGAAAGCGATACATGCAAAATGAATTCGCCATAAAAGATGTGGTTAAAACAGTGCTTACAAGTATTGCATTTATTATTGCAAGCCATAACCGATTTTTTTGCATTTCGTACATAATTCGTACACTGCAGTGGTCCCTAATAATGTTAAAACTGAAAAGTAAATAGGTTAGAATACAGCCAAGCGTGTAAGCACAAAAGGCAGCAACTTTTAAGAAAGAGTGATGCAATTTTTTATGTCAGAACAACACTAGAGAAGATCCGTTGCCTGACCGTGGTGCTCCAACAAAACTGCTCACAGAACGCCATCAAGCTGATTCAGAATTACTTCAGAGAAATGTTGCCCCGGCACTGTTACTACACGAGTGACTTCAAAACGGACAAGTGGAGCAGTGGAAGCCACAGCCAAGCTAAGGGCCTCGGCTCCGCTGAGTCTTCGTTGCGGAGCTCTGACCAAATGCACCTCCTCAATGATGCCAACCACATGGAGACCCCGCTCATGATCATTAAGGGATCAAGCAATGCCGCTCGCGGAAATGCCCTCTTTCGTATGCCCCTCCTCATCATAGCTATGGCTCTCTCGCTCCAAGTATTGTAAACCTTACTTATTCATTATTGTACCTTTTTATGATGTCTGTACATAACAAAAGGAAAAAATAACAATGGGAACAGGAAGGTAGAATTGTTTGTTCTTGCCTGTTAAATCTTTAATCTATTTCCATAGAATGGTGCAAATCAAAGAGATTTTATTCAAAAATTCTACATTTAAAATACGTCACTAATCAGTCGTGTAGTTAATGCCTACAGAGGCAGTGAGTGATGTATCTACCTCATTTCTGGTTATGTATGAGTTTATTGGCATTATACAATTCAAAGGAAGCTGGACCCAAATGCCATATTTTACCTATATTTGTCTATAAATAATCAAGCCATCTCGTTGCGTAAACTTGTTTGCAAGAAAGAAACGTCTAAATAAATTTTGCAAAAATCTAGCATTCTTCGATGGCTACAAGTTTAGTTCATGTGCCCTACTGGTTTGAGCCTTGATAAAAGAATGTACTTAGGGAATCATTCACGAATTTTGAAATACCGCCACTTCAGCAACCCAGTGAGCAGCCCTCCGAGAAATTACAAGCTTGTCGAGAATAAAACTTGATTGTTCAAAACCAAGGTCTTCCAAATCTCGGAATCATTGAGCGATTTGTCATATTTATTCGGTTTGAAAAAAGGCATCTCAATTTTAGCTTGCTACACTTCACTTTGGCACTCAATTCGAAGCTTACATTATTTTTAAGAATAAAAGCGGGCTTAATTGAAAGCCACTGCATATGTTAGGTAGCTTTTGCAGCCAAAAAGTACTGACGAAAAAAGGTTGCACCAACGGTTGCCGAGACTACAGGATTTCGTGAAGTATAACAGTAAAGAATTTTACGGTTTTATTAAGCCCCCCTCATTCAAAGCAACTGTAAATAAATAAATATGAATATTATTGCCCGCTTCGAATGTTTTATAAAGTTTCACCTTTTCATTTACTAGAACGTTTAATTTTGGTAATATGTTGGGGTTAAGTGCGAATGTAGCCTGTCTACTCCGTTCGGAGCCAATGTTCTATTCACGCATGAAACCTGACCCATTTCCAACACTTATGCTGCTCTTTGCTGTGTAACATACGCCCTTATTCTCACAGTGAAGAATGTCCTAAATTTTTGTGTACCCTTTCTGTACACATGTTACGTAGCTTTAAAGAAAAACACCAATTATCAAATACTCACAGTTCTGACCAATTCGAAGATGCGAAACTCCTAATATGGGTGGCCATTTCTACAACTTCTCAGCGTCTTTATTAGTTACAGCGAGTGTAGTCTTTAGCATTAGAATGGCACGCATACTGCCTTTTAAGCGTCTAATTTTATGCTTTTTTTTCCCGGACTAAATATCTAAGAATATTAACTGAAAAATAGGATCCTACTTGTGAACAAACAGATTATTTAACATTTAAATTTTGGAGATCACCAGCTCAAGGTGGTGCTAAACTGTGTTGAACATTTTGGAGTCGTTCCAAATGACACCTAAGCAAATAATAGCTCAATTAATCATAATGAGCGCTTGGTTTAATTTAATGTTAATTTTTTTGAGGCGATCACTATATTACAAAGAAATATTAACCAAAGTAAGAATTGCGAAAATTACGGTCACCGGGATGAAATACGCACTTTTATGGCATAAACCCGCAACTCAGCTCACGACAGATGAGAATTTTGCAATCATAAAGAGGTCAGGGTAAGTAAGAGGGACGTCGATGACTGCTGAAGAACGAGTAAAGTGTACTTCTATCACATCAAAGTTGGCATAACAAATATTTGCATTGACACCAATTTTATCTAAGCCAACTATTACTAAACAAAAAATAATTGTGGAAATTAGCTCTTTTTATTCATACTACGCTGTAACAGTGAGACAATGGCCTTTGTGCAATCATTCGAGTACAGAGCAACTCAATGCTGCCTTATATGTAGACAACCGCCTTATTTATATCTGAAGTGCATACTGAGCATGAGTAACCAGGAAAAAAATGAAAAGTATTCCAACTTAAAGGCTACTAATGCGTTCTTACATGGTAGTGCATCATAGCAAATCGGTTCGATTTAAAGAGGGGTTGTATGAAACCTCGCTATCTCTTAACAAAACCTCACCACCCTCCACACATACTCTTTTAGGCGCTTTGCTTGCACCATACACAGCATGAAGTTTCAACCACGATTGGGAACGGAAAGCGGAATAAGAATGGCAGATGGTATAAATTCGCGGAGCGTGTTCAATTTTAGCCGTAGGATAAAAAGCGATTGGTATTTACTCTTGTACAAGAATGCAAGTAATTGAAAGGCGATGACATTAAAATTAAAATTGCTAGGTCTTTTTCATATTCGCTCTCTATTTCTTAACTATTTAATCGGAAAGTTCATAGCTGCAATTTTCACATTGCCGGTAATAAAATCAGATAAAATCAAAGTGTCTTAGGTATGGCCTGTATCTGCTATCTGATTGCATATTTCATTTTTACGACCCAACTCACAATAAGTAGTGCGGTTCAAACCAAAATTGGCAAAAAAAATTTGCAACTTATTTTGCTCACATGTGATTTAACCGAACTCAAATGACTCGCACTTTCTACTAATTTAAACGCAATTTTTATAGGACCCCCAAGTAGCCATCAAAAGCTTTCCCAAACCAGCTTAATAAGCATGCAATACATTTTACTTGCTAAAAACATTAATTCGAAATATTTTAAATCTTTAATGACGCAAAATATTACGGAGAGACTTAAACAGACGCCCCAGAAATAGGTTTTATTGCCATCCAAAAGAGTCAATAAGTGAGTCTCAAAAAGAATGCAGATAAGCGTATCACCACAAAGTGCAAAAGAGCGATATCACGTGAGCACCATAATAATGACTATGTACTTCCAGTTTATGATCACCATATTTTATGGCACGACTTAATCCAACTCTGAATCACTAATTAGGCTATCATGGCTACATTATAAAATAAATTTAAAGTGCAAATGCTTTTTCAAATGCGCACGGCGGATTTGCAAAGCATTTGTTTTTTATTTGATAGCTAAACATTGTCAAATACCTATTTTGAACGATAAATGGTGAGCAATAAGTGGAGGCGGAAAATTATACCAACGGCATGTAGGCTACTTTCTAGTCGCATACTGCACAGTGGAGGTATATATTATCAGTGGCATTTTAATGATAGGATTGATTTTCCGTTAATCCTATAACTAAATTTATTTACTATTTTTTTGCATTTTTGGCAAAATATTTTACGCGTGCCGTTTCCAGCAATATAAATTATAGGAACTGAGATTTTATAAATGAACTGCTATTTATAATTCGCTCCCATAGAATTTAAATCACTACAGTACCTTACCGATTAATAACCCATTTCTACTTAAATAAAATAGTAGAATCAAATGGTTAAAGACTGATTAAAAATATCTGTAGTTTTTGGTGTTTTATTGCGTATATTCGGGAAGCACGAGAGTTTGTAAGTTCCACATCCAGGATAGTTTCCGATTTCCATAAGGACACACAGACCTCCTAATATGTTCTAGCAGCCATTATTTTACTTGCTTGTGCAGTCCGAAGGAGGGTTTTAAGAAAATGCTAGTGAAGCAAATATTGGTATAATAAACCTTCAAGAAAACCTTTTTAAGAAGATTACGTGCCTAAAGTGAACCCTTTACGAGAAAAACTGGCAAGTTGAATGGCATAGTTAGAAATATGTATCTTATCCTGGGTTGATATAACTAGTTCAAAAACTGTACCGTTATCGTACTGATATTATCTTGTGTGCTTCCGAATATGTCATGATGGTGAAGACGAATAAAGTCAAATATACTTAATTAAATAGATGATCATTGTAACCAACCTTCAATGATACTAACCATTAATTTGATTGTAATTTCGATTGCTTTGCAGGCCGACGAAAATCATAATAGCAAAATAACGACTACATTTCCATCTCTCACCGATCGGTTCTACAGTTACTAAGATATGTTAAAACTAATTCACGAAACTGCAGCGAGAATCAACACATGCTAATAAACACCGTTGGCACCAATTTCGTAAGGGTAACTGAGCATGTTTGCACGTCTTTTGTATCAGCTCCACTAAATCTGAAATAGGATCATAACCCCTGCTTATTCCAGCCAAACAGGCCAAAGTCTCTGAAGTACCCTTTAGTTTTGTTTTTGAAGTACAATTAATTATAGTAATTTATGTCTAATACCATGTATGTAGCTGCGGTGCACATTATTCTATTCTGTCATCCTAAAAATAACTCCCAGATGATCATTTAAATTGGGTTAAATCAGATTTGGATAACTGAATTAGTGCTTTTCCCAAGTACCGCTTTATTGCCATACTCTCACAAAATCTGTAGAACCCGTCAAAAAAGACGATTTAAAACAAATAAATGCCTATTTTCCTTATGATGATGGTTTTTACGTAAATTCACTAAAATAAATATTTCTGGGAGGTGGTTTTGATGCCATAATTTCTGCTGGATAAATACAAAATTTTCAATATCTTTCAACACAAAATCTTGAACCCATTTTTTGGAAATCACTTAAAAACATCTCGGTCTTCGCCAAATAGCCCAACGGTTGCACCAACGGATTTTGCAGCATCTTTTTCAAATCCACTGGTAAATCAAATTTTCGGAACATCCAAATACCAAAGGGTGCGTTACTCATCCGTCGTCTGTAATAATTCATGACATTTTGACAGGTATTTCATTTTCAGGAGCAATTTGTATTTGCATTTTCATGCTAATTTTCATCCAGTTAGTTGGCGCAAGCAAACTCTTAGTAATTATAAAGCGCAGACTGTTTATAGTATAGCCAGTTCGAAAATAACATGGAGACACTGTTATCTACTAAGACGGACACCGTGAAATATGCATCTGAAGAGCGCACGGTTGTCACTCTGTTGCACATAAACAGAACCCAATCAAGCATTGAAAGTTATCCTTTTTTTGGTTTCACTTAACTGTCAGGCAGTGAATATATATTACTTGACTAATAAATAAGTTCAGCTCAGCAACATTACCATTTTGGAGCTAGCGCGGAGCACATTGTAAAGGGTCATTACTTTCAAGTTAATGCTATGCTTCCGCCTTTACCTTTGTAACAATTTCTTACCTCTGGGTTGCCTTAAAGAGAAAGGTATTATTAGTGCTTAAAGAAAAACTTGATTACTTGGTGATTTAGTACTGTGGTATACTTTGCATACATATATATATATATATATTTGTGCACAAAGTCATCCACAAGGTTGTCTTCCATTCGAAAGGCATTTACAACAACGGAAAGTCTACTCTATTTAACAGCAAAAGGTTTGGTTTATTAAGATATGCATTAATGGTCAGCCTGATCGACTGGTGTTACCAAGTTTAACGAAAGCAGTTGAAAGTATAATAAAGTGTACATTCTTTAATGATATCCTATGCTACATCACAAACATCCATTGGATTTGTCAAATTACGAGCATCATATATAGAAGTTAATCTTTAAACGAGACTAAGTGTTTTGAAGAAACGGGCGCCATGACAAAGTGATAATCGATTTTTGCGATAAAAGTCCACCCCAGCTGAATAAAAAATTGCATTTAAGTCTCCACAACATGCCTGGCTTCCTTTAAAGGTTTCCTTTCTACGTATTTCAAACTTATTCCCAACAAAAAATACATATTTTGCATAAATTTAATACTGCTTTAAATGTAAATGGAGTGAGCACAAGTCTCGCGTCAGGTAATTAAACAACAATCACTGTTAGAAAAAGAACTAAGAAGCACAGCCATTAAGGAACTTAATAAAACGAATCAGGAGTGGACGTCGATTATTGTAGTGATGCTAATCAATTCTCAGGCTTGGTCCAGGTGATGACCTTTGTCTGCGAGGTAGTGTCAGACTCAAGCACAATGTCGGATTGTGAGGACAAGTGTAGCAGTGGTGAGATGGCACTGATGATGCTGCTGAAGAGGTGCGGATTGTTGTTCTCCTCTGCAGCGAGAATCTCCTTCAGTCGCACCTGCTCCACCCTCGACTGCTCACATATAGGACAAGCCGTCTTCATCACTGGTAGTCCAGCCTAATCGAAATAGTGTCAAAGTTTTCATATGCCCATTTAAATGGGTCTTCATCATAATGACATTTGTTCTCAAGTAAAGATGGCATTTTCCAATTTTATTTACGGGAGCCATAATGTACCATTCAAAGTGTACTTTTGATAATTAAATTCCGATTTTTGAGTTCAAATTCGTCAATGAAATAAAACGGTTTTAAGCATCAGAGTTACTCTAAAATTAAGTGAATGAAATCAGGACCGAGCTCTGAAATCAAATGTCTTTAAGCATACAGCTTGTGTCATCAACCTGGATAGGGTAACGGCCCTATTCCTGATAATCGGTCTTGTATGGTTCACTCAGTGGATAGCCGCATGTGCTAAAGTTTTGAAATCATTTCCAAATTGAAGTTAACCTTTAAGTCATATCGAATGGTTGCCTTAATTTAGTAGCGTGTGTCAATTCCAACTCATCTGAGCCTACCTAATTGTTAGAAAGAAATAGCATTTATGTTTACTGCTTTGACGGCAAGAAAATTAATCTACTATCTGTGAGCTATCACTAAAGAATGACAGCAGTTTCAGAAGACTTAGACTCCTTGAAGAACTTACGGTTTTGACAAATTCTGCTATAGTCTTCTCTCGGCAAAATGCGAGCGGACGTATTAAGCGTAGATTGAGATCTCTATAATAATTAACGAATTCCCCGTAATCAGTTATTTTGACTTTTTGATGTAAGGATGGACAAGTCAACGTATATAATGAGTCCTGGGTGTAAAATTAGGGCAAAATAAGATCAAAAAGCAGAAATGGAAACGCATTTCTGCCATTAATATGTTCTAATGCAGTTAAAATATTTTGATGAACTTTAGTTCGACAAATCTAAAGACCTCATATATTTCCTATTTTGGGGTACAAAAGAAAAATGAAACAAATCTTACTTTAGTTCAACATTTGCCTCCATTGTTTGAATGCTTCCATTGTTAAACACAGACGACAGAAAGCTGGAACGCAATGGAAACACACCATTTATCTGCATATTAATGGCTACCGTTTAAGCCATGAGGTGAGGAATGGATCTTATCGGCATACCTAGCTGCCATTTCATCGAGGTTTTGAGCGAGAGCAAGAACGGTGTATCCGTATCTCCTGGCGACGTTATAGATAACTTTCTGCTTTAAACTCGAGCAGAGATCCAGTGAGTGTGAGCAGTAGTGATTCATATCTAGAATTCGGCATTCATAAATCATTCGAGGGGTTCAAAGTTCTTTGCAAAAATGCAAATCATAGGCAAATCAAACCTGCCTAGAGATGAACCTAAGGTTCTATCACTGTAGCTGTTTTAAATTACTCTGAGGTTTCCAGCCACTAATCTGATTAAGAATGGCTGATAATTTAATACAAATCAGAGTTTATAGGATTTACACTATTCATAATCATCCCAAGTAAGTTTTCCAAATATGCATTCGTTTGCAATTCCAAAGGCGATTATTTAACTCACCTTGTTTTTCATAGTAATGTGTCACTCCTAGTGCCTTGAGATAATTAACCAAGGGGAGTAAATCATAGTTCTCATAAGCTAGGGCAACAACGACTGCTCCCATATCAAAGACGCCTTTGCCTCCAGGATCTGGATTTTCTCGTTGAAGTATTTCCTGGTAGGCATGCAAGCAGTGCAAAAGCGCCATAGAAGATTTACCACCAGAAAGGTGTACGAGAATCCTGTCGCCAGGATGGATCATGGAGAAGAGACGAAGCGCCTACCAAGAGAAGAGCCCAAATCTTTATCCCATTCAGCACTACAAAATATTTTGATTTCTTTGCTCATTAGAAAAGCCTCAAGGTTAACAACCTTACTTACTTTTGGTTTACCGACAGCGCATCAGTAATGGATAAGTTTATTCACCTGGAGCGATAAGATAGGTTCCCATAATTTGTGTTTGAATTTATCAAATAGGATAGTATGCTACGAAATGGGGAAGCCAAATCATCAGGCCGCTTTCCAATTTACTAGTGGCATCAACTAGGGAGCAGATTTTTCGATGGGACTCATTGATAAGGCACATTCACTGCACGCTATAATCCTGTGTGATGCTAAGATTTATACTTAAAAATGGATTAGATGTGCAGTGTCTCATGCGATAAGTGTCCGAGTTTTCGGAATCAAGAAATTTGCAAATAGTACGAAGTGCATTGTCAATTTTCAATTGTATGGCATTAATTGAACAACAGCTACCTACAGTACTGCATGCTGGGAATACTGCCACTTCGGAAATGACTAAGATATCATGCAGGTAATGATAATTGAGCTTGATAAGAGGAGACGAACTGTGACGATCTTTGTTCAAGTCCCATTTGATTAGCAAGTTGAAATGTACGTGGTCTGCATGCTTCACGCTATAGGAACATAAGCATTATCACGTCTTAAGAGTATTATTATGTTTGTTGGCCGATAAAAACAGACGCGGTAACAATTGGAAAGAATAGGCTGCTCCAAGCGGGCAATATTATGGCTTGTTTGCTTTCGCATAACTGCCCTTCTTACTTACTATACTTTTTAGCTTAATTGCATAACTGAAATGCAAACTAACACTAAATGTGTTAACTAAGCACAATTCATTCATTATCATGTAACCACTGATTATCTTAATTTTGGAGAAATTGAAACGACCTTAAGGTTTGGAGTAACTTGCGGCTGTCGTGTTAGTTCAAAAGCTGTTCATTTTACTACAACTCACCGACAGTGTGGCATGCTTCAATAATTCATGGCGTATAAAGTAATGCATTAGTTAGTTTTTACGCCAGTAATCTCAGTTATGGAGAACTAAGGTTTTATATATGGTATTGTAAAAAAGTAAGACTGACTGCATATTTCTTGTTTGGATGAAAATTGTGCTGATTTTAGCCTCTTCCAGAGCCCAAAAACTGGCACCACCGTGGGTTTTGTACAATCGACCGACGCATAACGAAATGGATGTCTCAGTTTTTAATTGGACCATAAGCCTATCAACCACAAATTCGCTAAATTTACAAAATTTCATATACTTAGCTGTAAACCTAACATGTACTCCTTAGAATCGAATCGTGATTCCACAAAACACGACGTAATAATAACACCAATAGACAATTTGAACTGGGCAACCAACTACATTTGAAAGGCATTTCAGGCGCTTTCATTTCTGTACATCGCTAGGAGTAAAATATTGCACAAAAAGTGGTGCCACCAAATACATCTCATTAAGTATAACCTCCACATTTGATCTTTATTCTAAGATTCATTGATGTCACGCAAAATGGTTTACTCTGCCTATACGAAGAGTGCGATTCGAATGACGCTTATGTGCTGAAGCGATTTGTTTTAATACTGCTTGTTCGAACACGAAGTTACTGGAGAGGGAAAAGGAAGTGTTGACAATGCCTTCCCTTATTAATTAGTCATTTTCATGATCCGTTTAATCTCAAAAAGGGGAGTTTCATTAAAGCAATGTTTTTTTGCCAGTGCATCATTCAAGAAGCTCACCCATTCAAGCCTTGACTGCGTGTAGGTAAGCTAAGACTGGAATCAAATGCGTGACATTAATGGAAGCGACTTGTTTATATCGCTACACCGTTACCTCGACCGATGTCCGTGTTTCTAGTAGCTAAATTAGTAAACAGCGGGGTACTAATATTACCTACAATTTGGGCTAGTAAAAATAAATGTTGTCGGTGTGGCATAAAGGATCACGAAGCCATGGCACACAGTTAAAAGTCTAACCAAATAAGAGATAAAAAACGTCTACGTTTCCGATAGACTGCCACGTTAAATAAACATCAATACATAAATTCAAAGCCAGACATCACCATCAGAACTCGAATAAAATATAACTAGTAATGACTATCTCGAAACATCCTTTCAAATTTTAGAAGGCGATTGCAAAACTTGATTAACAGACCAGATGAAAATAGTTTTGCAAAAAATTGGTCAGTCATACCACAAAAAGCCACTTTGTATAAATCCAGTCTTTCAAATGACCAAAAGTCCCTATTCTAACACTGCAATTCAATGAGCACGTGATAGCTCAATACTCAGGTTGGCACACGGTTTAGGCAGTTTTACTAACTCGATGATTAAGAACGTTCGACTGGTATTAATGGGCCAGAGAAATATCCTAAAATAGTACATATTCGTCTCCTTTGATATAGCAATACAATGTGACCTAATAAATCTGTTTATCCAATTAATTCTTTAAACCGGTGAAACTTTCATGCCTCGTTTACTTCGCGTGTCTTATGTACCGCTATTGGATGGAAATGCAGCCAGGAAAGTTAATAAAAAGGCTTATTATTCTAAACAGGAGGCAACATTCTGAGGCTTACGCAAATTTTTGGGAAATGGGCAAATAGTGCATTTTCAGATCATAGTAAATACCCCCAGCAAAAGACTCCCAAGCAAATTTGAATACCGAATTAAGTACTATTCATACTTTGCAAATTAAGTAGAAACTACACTGTGATAAAAATAAAGCACACAAATCCTAGCGGTTAGGGCAAATGGTTTTGTGCGAAAAAAAACAGCCTTGACATCGACAAAGGGTCTGTCGCGAATGCACAGCGGGTTAAGGATTAGTGTTAGAAATAAAGAACATCTGTGCAGCGAAGTGGTTAGTCAAATACTGTTAGCATATTTTTTAGCCAGGATCACAAAGCCCTTCTTTCTCTATCCGTACAGCGGCATATTAGCGGTGCCTACAAAGTGACCAATAAAGGTTACATTACTAAGTGCTCATAGGTAAGCAGCAATGCAATGGTACACCAGCGCAACCTGCTGCTGTTGCGCAAACCTTCATATGAAATACAGAGTTTAGATCTAGTAAAATGGTACCATGTTCGGCAAAGCAAGTGGGTATTGGGTTGGATAGCTTGACCGAAAGGGAACTTACAGTGATGGTATTAACGACCACGGACGTGGCTGAACAAATGCAAAAGCGTAACATCGGTGTGCATACAAGTATTCACATTACAATTATTTTGATACAGGGTGTTTAATCAACTTGGCAGCAAAATACACAGGGAGATCCATCGCTCAGATTATCTCGCATTCTATTGTGCAGGAAGAAGAGATAGCGTTTCTTGTATTTTTAATGAACTAAAGATCGTATGAAAGACATCGACCTTCTCAGTTTATTGCTTCTAACAGTGGAATTTAACAAACTAACATTGATTATTTTTTAGGCAATCGCTTAGTTTTGTGCAGATCATTTTGTTTAAGGCTCTGCCACCGTCTCTCTCATCAGCCTAGTGTAGTGTCCCTAGACCAGAATTATTCGTTTATTCTTAACCCCTCTGATTGAGAGAAAACTTTGGGTAAGTCGTCGACTAAATGCAACACATAAAACTTTAAAAAGTAGGGGAATATCAATTTGTTTTAGCCCTTTAGTTCCACATTTGCATGTTCACCGAGAGCTGCTGCGCTGCCAGCGAGCCGACGCTAAACTATAGAAGACACACTCCGCAAAATCACACTAGGAGTTATTTGCGTTTGATAATTAGGCTGTAGAAACAGTTGCACATACATGAAAGAATTGATTGGGTGAAATTAGAAGGCCACTTTTCTATTCTTTACTTACAACAGTACGTTTTCCTGAATTTTCTCTAACACAATTTCATTTCTGCAATAAATACTTATGATTTCATTATGCAAGGAAAAATGAAATATCGCAGATAATTTAACGCTGGCTCTGTAACTGTTTGAACGCTTTGCGTGTTTGGATTCGGAGAAACTGATTGACTCACACATTAAAATTTCTCAGTCGTAATTGCTCATTGCGTAATTTGGGTAATATTAATGAGCATGGGAATTTTATGTTTTATCTAATTAACTAAAAACAATCTTATTTTCACCCTTTAATATAACTTTTAAAAAAGGAACTGTGAGCGCAAATGTACCTGATTCCACTTATCACTGTAAAGCCTATATAACATGGACTCCTGTTCATTGTAAAGTGGAGAACGCCGGTAATTCTGAAAGGTGTCGGATTTATCACACTTTAACGTTCTTCGCAGTTTCAACAAATTAATGAAAAGCGGTGAGATGGCCCCCGAGAATGATGCAACGGAAAACAAAATTAGTCAATGAGAAATAAACGCAGATTCACGATTATTGAAGTCGTGAAATTAGTAAAGTTAAAATGAACTTTCTACTTGAAACTTGCTATACACCCTGTATTAGAATGAAGAGATTGTTTTTGGTTATGTTTTCGGGAGAATATAAGGAAATAGATCCGCTTTAAGCAATTGCTCAGCCCAAGGTGACCAAATGAAGTTAAGAAACTGTCGTTCGGTAAACACTAATTGATTATCCTCTTTTAAGCCTAATTATACCTTTTTCGGACGAAAATTTTGACACTTGCTAAAATCATTTTGTGACATTATTATATACACAAGGATCAAAACAAGTAAGTGCTCCTAGTCCAACATGGATTTATTGTATTGGCGAGTGTAGACTGAAAAGATTCAAAGTAAAGGCAATATAGCACTCGTATTAGGCGAGCCGATGAAGTCTTAAGTTAGGGGTCCCTTAACCAAATGGATGGAGGATGTAAATTAGCCTAGTACTAATAAGGCTACCTTTTCCTCCTTTAGTCCAGGAATTTCACCTTCAGATGAATTTGATGTGTCAGGATTCTGTAACAACACGGATTTTTTCAATACCAAGTAAATGAATTTGTACTCTGTTTGAATAACAAACCATCTAGCTATTATCTTACGATAGCCATGTTTATTTCAACTTCAGGGCAAATTTTCTAGTTTGATCGATCACCCGGAAGGTGAGTAAAAAGCGACAGTCATCAATCATTTTTGCAATTTTAACTGACAAATGTTCGTTCCATGTATTTGCAGGATTAGCGCACAATTGTGTAGTAAGGTTAAATTAAATTAAACCAGTGTATATGAAGCTTTGATGAGAGGCAATTCGATAATAATGAATCATTTGGCACGAGTGCCTCGCCTACCCTAATGGGATTAAATTGAATGTGTTGGTTCAATTAATAATTATTCTTAAGTGAAACAATCAACTGTGGGAATAAAAGTAAAAAGATTGGCTCCCTAATTCTGTCATCTTTTCTTTTTAATGAGTCAAAATAACACCAACAACATATCAGAGGGCCCGAAGGTTTGAGTATTGGAACAGACCAAGAAATTTCTGGTAAAACCGAGTAACCTCGATCCTACTGAAATAACATAATAATTCTATCGCAAGATCGCATGATTTGGATCAACTGACTTTAAAATTATCCTTGTCGACCCTACTGTCAAGCATCTGTGCATAAAACTTAAAAATTTGCTATCTTGCATTCAAATTGCATTTCAAAATATTGCTAATAAACAGCCTCACTTGTCATTAAAATTATTTTGGTATTTAAACATTGCTTCCTTACCGTTTGCAAGATTATTTAGATTCAAATCTATGATTATTGATCAAGAATGTTAACGTGATTAAAGAAATAAGTTACATTATTTGCTGAAATAATTTAAGCATAGTTTACCTAACCGACCACTTGTAAGTTATTTCTTTGTGAACGTTATCCAAAGTAATGCCTAAAACGTTTTCGGTGAATATAGTACCCAATGGTAATGAAACCTTTAGAAGAGACTGTAGATAATGCGTGCTAATGGAGAGCTCCTGGACCACTAACCTGAATTGTTGATCTCAGAAGTTGAGGGGGCGGTGAGTACCAGCCGGTCTCGCCATGCACATACCTGGCTGGTGAAGACGACTGCGTACGGTGGGGTCTAATAAGACCCCGAGGTAACTGAAAGGTGATGGGATACCTCTCACAAGCTCCCAATCGTCCGATGCGCGATGCACGTCCCCTGGCCCTACTATTGCGGTTTGGAGAGCCTCGTTTCTGTTTCCCATCCCGACGGACGCAAATCACATCTGTACCTGATTGCGACTCCATGCTGCTGTCTGAGGAGCTGGACGAGTTCACGAAGTGGTTGCCCTTGTGTGCATTGTTGGGATAGACACACTTTTCGTTCGTCACAGCGCTAGCCACTTTGGCGCTCGTGTACTTGCACAAACGCGAGAGTGACTCGTTATCACGTTTGGCCAGATCCGGACAGAAGCAGCGCTCGATGCAACCTGGATGCCAAGGACTACCCGTGTTGGGGTACTGTGGGACGGGCCGTGGAAGCCCTGATGAAGAAATGAAAGGTAGATAAGATGCAATAGTTTTGGATGGTTGGGCAATCAAAACTCTTAACATGAGTGTTTTGAAGCTGACCTCTCGCATCAGCAGCTGCCTCACTAGCCAGAAGGAACCACCGGAGATAGTTTGCCTTCGATCGCATCCAATAGCGATCTATCTTCTCATTGGTCACACTACATGTGGACTGACGTAGAACTGATTCCAATGACTGCTGCAATGATGCAGCCATTGAAAGACATTCCTGTGGGAAAAGTGTGTGCAGAAGCTTTGAACTTTTTAGGGAGCCTTAAAACACCTCGGCTACTTTATATTCGCCAGAATGCGTTCATCTGTACTTTGAATGCATAATTTTACGTGATATAATTTGATCCTGTGATGTGCCTTGGAAGCAGTGGGAAAGATCACGGGGGAATTCACGATTGTTAATTTGACTCAAACGATGACTTTGGCTAGAATATTTCCTCCCATTGGCATTTTTGAATATCAGCTCTTGATGATAAATCTGGTGTCTGGTTATTTAACAAGTTTTCGCCTCGTACTAACTGAATTATCATGGCTAAGTGATACTACTTTAACGGATGCTTAACTTGGAGAATTACCAAAAGATCTAATGATAGTTGAAATCTACCTAAAGTGCCCATACCATTTATTTCCTACAAGAGGTGATTACTTTCTGCAACAATGTTTTTATTTAAGCATAAATGTTCCCCAGCCAATATTGAGAAGACTTTTGATCTGCACAAGTCTTACATTCATCAGATCTAGTGAATTAGGGCAGAGAAATTCATGTAATTCAGATGTCACAATTTCGATGAAATGGGATCCTAACATCTCAAACTAGCTCAAATTACACATGTGTTTCATTTTCTAAAACGCTACTAGTAAAACGGACTTAATGATGGGCCAAACAGTTCATTAGAAGTGACGTATCTTTTCTTTGCACACAAACTGATTTTGTGCAAGGTCAATTATGAAAAGCCTACATGGAGGCAATTAATTGCGGTTGCTTTACAATTTTCGCAGTCACACAACTCATTAACGTGGGTTTCTCTGCTATGTCAGCATTCAGTTAATGATTTTGTGTTGCAGTTTCATTAAATTTAACCTCGTAATTCCGACTGTCTTGTCCTTTTATGAGAAGAAGAAGAAGAACGTTTCGTCACACCAAAGTCACACGCACCGTCAGTCATTTGAGCGTCGCATTCGTGAAAAGTCCCAACAATGTGCGCAAATTATTCGAGGTCAAATACCGCAAAAACACGAAAGCTGTGACTGAGACAGCAAATTTCGAGAATTCGCAGCGAACAGTCTTAAAGCTAACTTGTCGTAGCTGCGGAATACACACCCAATAATTCCAAATCTTGTAACATTCGTGCTTCATTCTAAAGGAACCCCTTAACCATCACTTCAAAGACCTTTAGTTAAATAATAAACTTAAACTTATTTGAATTTAGAATCGCTTACATTAAAAGATCAACAAATGAATTCCGAAATGCTTATAGTTGTTATTGTAAACTTTAAGACGTTTGTTTTAAGATGCCCAATTTGGTTTACCCAAATGAGTTTGTGCTTGCAGAGACAATCAGGCACACCTCAACGCAAAGAAAGATGTTAGGCTCCTATCAGACCTAGTTGATAACTTTAGTCACTGCATTAATCAAAGTGAAAAATGCTTCTCAGAACGTAACATTACATCTTGACTTCTGACTTAATAATGGAAATTTTATCGAAAGTACTTTATTAATTCACCGAAATTTACAAATTGTGAGCCTTCATGAAGTAAGATGTGGGCTTTAGGGCTAAGGTAGCTCAAATTTTCCTGCCAGCCCTCACTGTGAATTAGGTGGAAAACATTGCTTTTCCCATGCAACAGGTTCATTGGACAACGGACAAGCACAGCTCACTATTTCACAAACAGTGATGTGCGTTACTTTCCTATGCCATTTATTTGACATTGGTACTTTAATCACCTTAATATGATCTCAGCCAAAAAACAATGGTAGTTTTTTAAAAATTCTGTATATGCCGCATTTGAGGCATAATCTGATGCAGTTGTAGCTTGCACAAAGGAAAATGAGTTGTATTTCCAGATGAACATTTTCAAAGCCAAACTATAAAAGTGAACTTCAAAAAATTTATTTCTGTGCTCCTTCACTGTTAAAGCAGTTTTTGTTAAAACACCGTATTGAAACAAAATTTATGTACTTAAAGGAAATTTTATACCCGTCGTACATACCGTATCACAACTTATATTTCATGTCGTTGTCTAGATTACTTTAAGGTAACTCGAGCCACCGTAGCTCATCATAGCAATTTTACGAAAAATCTCAACCACCGCTCATCACCGCAAACCAGATGGGTCCGTATACAATAAAAACAAAAGTTTTTGAAGCAATTGATTACCCTAAGTGTCAGCGGAACCGGTCCAGCAGATTTTTGAGCGGGTTTCTTCCATCGCATCACACCGTGATCATAGGTAATATTCGAGAGATGTTTTCCCATGTCACTCCTCTTGTCGTTACAGTAGCGCCACTGGCCAGTCTTCTGATTGAGCTCGTAGAATGGCAGAAACGTCCAGGAGTATTTAGCAACGAATATAATAGACTCAATAATAAAATCAATTTCTTCATCTGGGTAGAAGAATGGTAGATTAATTCTCGTAAAACCCGGACTAAAACACAAATTATGTAGGTGTTACCTAGATGTTTTACATAACAACAGGCATTCAAATGCATCCGCATGAAAACCAGAAATTTTGATTAATTGTAAATCAAAAAGGTTTTTAGCGATGAAAAAAAACTTTGTAAGACTGTTAACGAACCGAAGGATTTTATGCTCGAAGATTTCCTCGTTGTCTCTAAATTAGAACAAGAGCCTTCCGTTAATTTATTGCTCCAATTATTAGTTTAACTTCAGGTAGGAATAGAGTAATCGTGACCTATTGTTATCAAACTGTTCTGTGCCGTGTACCACTTCGATTTCATCACTCTTGAGCCTGCCATTTAAAAAATGCATTAAATAATATCATGTTTCACCAAAAGATGCTTTAGTAATCTTCCGCAGCAGTTACATTAGAGAATTTAACGAGCTTTTAGTAATGAAAACGTACTTTGAAATAAGTGTATCTTCGTAACTTATTGCAAGTTCCTCATTTATGCCCAAAAGATCAAGCGCATAAGGGCCGGCACAAGCACATCCTGAACGTGATTGTATTCCAAATAGATCATTTAGCAAGGAGCAAATAAAGTCGTGATGAATGAAAAGGCAGTTGTCGTCCTTAATTTCTTCGCCTGATGGACCGTGCATTCTCTGCTTTGAGCTGTTAACTTTCACGAGACCTTCTCTTGTGTGCCGTACAAGAAATGAAAAAATTGCAATTCTCTTTGCCTTACTGCCTCCAAGTATTACGAGGTTTGGACACTGCGAAAATTTAGTCCATGCCAAACTACAAAAAATAATTATTTAATTGCTAGTAAATATCTAAAGTCACTCAATGCCATGATACATACCGAACGAGTTCTTCCTCTCTCTTCTGAATCAGTTTAGAACCAATAGCTTCCTTGAGCTGTATCACCATTCCGGCTCGGATTGATTCAATAATCGCTGGTGTGCCACCTTCTTCCCTCACTTCCACTTCCTGCAGCATAAAATTAATAAGCAGCAAGCAAAAATGGATGGATTACATAACACCGCTGCATAAACGCACCTTAAAATAAGAGGTGTGTTCTCGGCGAACAAAATTAACTGTTCCGCCCCCACTTTGGAATGGAAATTGTTCGCCGGCCTCAAATAATTTCTTTTTTGCAACTAATATACCTGGTGTCTGAGGCCCACCAACAAATTTATGTACAGAAAAAAAAATGGCGTCTTTATATGCATTTTCAGCACCATTTCTAAAAAGTTAGAAGAATTATCAATTAAGAAAAAAAAGGCTTATTTAAGCTTTTTTATACTAACTTTGGGGCAGGATTCATATTCATTTCTACATAAGGCGCAGCTGTAGCATAATCCCAAAATATAATCCCACCATAGCGGTGAACAAGTGAAGATGCTGCATTTGTATCCACCAATATGCCAGTAACATTTGAAGCTGCAGAAAGGCACACAAGCATTCGACAGCCAAGTTTTTTTGCCGTTTTGCTTTCAGCCTAAAATAATGTATAGTTAGTAACATATGAATTAGACTTGAAAATATACCTTAAGGGCCTCTTCCAGGTAAGTCATGGAGACTCCTCCATCAGTGTTTGTTTTAAGCCTAATAACTTTCTGTGCAAGGTGTCTCCAAGGGAGTAAATTTGAATGATGCTCAAAAGGGCCTACAAATACAATCTAAAATATTAACGATAATATGTTAACTAACCGGCGGCTCAGACAAGTTTATATTGTGAATCAGTTTGTGTATGGCACCTGTAGTCCCACTGCCAACAAATATTAGAGCGTCTGAGTCTGTTGCATTAACTGCGTCTTTAATAATAGCTCTAAAATAACCATTCTAAAATGAATATACTTTGCATCATTCCTAAAGCTTGTAGTTTGGCAGGACATTCCTGCTAGAAACGAGTGAACATTTGCATATTCTGGAAGAACTTCATTTGTTATAAATTCTTCAAAAAATTTAAGGCTTAATCCCGATGCCGTAAAATCACAGTATACAACTAAAAGTGAGGGATGGTTAAGAAATTTTACCTCTTCTGTCACCAAAAGGTCCCCGGATGAGCGCACTTGAACTCAGCAAATTTGATCTAATGTAGGAAAGCAATTTCCTTCCTCTTGGAACGCTTTTAGATCTACAGATTGAAAAAAGGTAAGCACCTCGTACCTATCCTTCGTCATTTAACCAATGTCTTTAACTGAATGTGTGCACAAGACGGCAAAACTGCCAGTCAAATTAGATCCGGTAAAGCTAAACACTTCAAGGTAAGATAGAATTTTAACCTAAATCCTACGTATCGTAAAATTGTAAAGCGTTTATAAATCCCCTTTCAACTTTAAAATACCAACATTTTTGAATTTTGCCTGGTTATTTGGTGGATAGGTAAGGGAGGTGAATATTTGCTTATTAAAATTACCTCTGAGGATTTAATGATTTATTAGTATAAACTTGCAACGTCAAATAGGCAGTGATATAAAGGTGCAAAAGTGACAACAAAATAATTGTTTAACTTTGTGGCGTTCATTACCAGCTGTGAAACGTCTTCGATATTTTTGCTCGCATAGATATAGCGTCTTGGTACCTAAGATGTAGTAAAGCAAATGAATAGCACCAAAAGTAATGACCAGTTTAACAAAAACATGTAACTAAACTCAGGAAGTAAAACTGCGTGTTCCATCTAAGCTTGAGCATAAAAATGTGCTTAAATAAATTAAGCAAGGACACAAATATATTTGCATTGCAAATTCTTAGAGTGTGGGCAAATGACCTCGGTAAGTACGAGTAATTATAGGTAGAGACGAACATCTTGAATTGTTTTAACTGCTAGCTGCATGGAATTGGAAATTTTGTAAGTGGAATCAGATGTCGCTGCTAGGGAATAAAGTCGAAATAATTGGTTACCTTGATAAGAAGTTAATATTGGTCAAGGTGTATCAGACGAATGCGTAACTTGGTGACTTTTTATGCTTCAGAGTTTTAGCTGTTGATCAGCATGCTGCTCACGAGCGTATCCTTCTGGAGCATTTCCTAAAGGCATGGAAACACGAAAATATATTCGATGCCACCGTGCCTCATTTTGGATTCTCAATTAGACAAAACGTCGCTGTTAAGTTACATTTGAGTGTATCAGATCGGATTATGAAGAGACTATTCAGAGATTTGAAGCATTTCGGTATAGAAGTAGAGATGACTAATCCTTCGGAGAATATGGTGCAAGTTACATCATTCCCCGTTGATATTTGCCATTCTTGGACCTTACCAGGCGCTTTCATATCACTTCTTTCGGATTTTTTCTCAAGCAGAGTCAAATTTCTACTTGGAGAGGTATCAAATCAGGGAGAAGGTCTGATGTATTTGGAGTGAGTTCGCCTAATCATAGTACAAATTTACTAAACTTACTCGTCATGTTGTAAAACGGTATAATAAAGTGCAATTAGCACTATGGTTTTTGGGGTCTATCTGAACACTGGGGGCAATTCAACCGATGACAGTTTAGTAGTTCTGTAGCAATTTCAAGTCTTTTTTTGTAGTATAGTATTATGTCATTTCATGTTGTTGGTAAAATTGTGCATGTCCTTGCAGTGAATGCCAAAAATCCAACGTGCATTTGATTTAAAAGTCTTGCTCAGACCCTATTATTTACTGACGTTTGCCTGCTTTGCATCTTTGTCTAGTGCGGCTGTAATACTCTTATTGCAAACAAAAGCCTGCAAGTCGGCTATTCAATTTGGTGACCAAATGGAAGTAAAAGAACAATACGAGTTATTGGACCAGTTATTTAATTGTTCACAACCATTTCACTGCGCACATGGGCGACCCTCCATGGCTACCCTCTTGAAAACATCAACTGGATTTTGATTGAACTTATCTGACCACCGTGTTTGAATTAACACCTTTTTGGCATTTGCCGCTATGTGTAGGTCTACCATATGGGGTTTTAATGTCCAATTTTCTATATTCTGAGATACATTCGAAAAGTAAGTATAGTTGCATGTAGTTACATGTTACACTATTGTTTTATTTATTGGGGAACGCTTTGTCTCTGTGCTTAGTTTGTTCAATACGGTGTTTGAAAAAGTCCAGTCCTTCTTTAATTTACACTTTTCTTGGATTAGAGTACGGTAGGCATGTCGCTAGTGGGACAGATGTCACAAGAAGTTGTGCAAAATGTCAAAAAAGGTGTAGCCAGTGCAATTTGTGCGAAATCAATGCAACTTGTGAATTGGGCATGCTCAAACTGCTGTTTGAAGAGCAAACATTGCTTCTCACATTTCTTCCTACAACATTTTAGGACCTCTGTTGGTGTAAGTAGGCTCTTTAGCACAAAGGGTATTTTGTCAAAACTACCATCTTTCTTTTAACGTAATCCGCGTTTGCCGCATTGATTCCCCATAAGCCACGCTAACACGCAGAACTCAGTATGAGCATACATAATAGTTGCGATGCTATAGATATAGCCTGAGGGTCGTGGTGTCAAATAGATACAAGCTACGAAGACTAAAGAGTCCAAATAGCTAAAAGCAAACTAGGGAAACCATCAAATCACTGCATTATATTATCCAAGCTTTAGGGGATTATACAGTGTAACCACAGGATTCATGGGTCTAGCAAGTATATCTTACTTTTTCCTCCTTAATCCTCCTCTCTCCGCGGTGCTGCGTTTGGTGCACATAATTTCGGTTTTTGTGAAAAGTTGGATGCACTCAGTACCAGGTCTGCATTCGCAGATTTTGATTAAAGTAGCCCTCGATAACTTAAAAGCTTTAGGAATCTCTACAGCATTTGATAATGTATGGGTATGTTGAAACTTTGTTATTAGTTTCAAAAACACATTAGTTAGGATTTATTCCCTTTTTGTGGACTAATACAGTGTGCCATTTTGTGCGTAAATAGCCCTTTGAATGGAGCAACATGACCAACCGGAACTTGAAAATTGAGACAGCAGTGTTCCCGTAACTTCAGTCAACTCTCCTTACAGTCAAATCTAACGTAAATTCTTGGACGCTTAGGATGGCCAATTTCTGGCCGTAAACAATCTGAGTAAGAAAGCTACCTGAGCCTTTCAAAATAATGTCTTGCATAATTCTTCCAATGAACGTACGAGGACCGGCTATTGCGTTTGACCAGAAGAAAGTAGACATAATGGGCGTATGCAGCTAGATTAAAAGAACGGGGAGCGACTTAATGTTGCCTCGATTACCGCAAATACAATAATAGGATTTTTCGTGACAAATTAAACGCTTGAAAAGTTTAGTGAACTAGCGTCGTCCCTTAGTTCTCATGGTGATATGGATTGTTTGCTTCAAATTGGCTTTTGTCAATTCATATTACCTAAGTATACGGATTAGATATTCAAATGATTAGTCTGATATGAGACGTTCACATCGAGTGCAATGGATATGGTTTAAAGGAATAAAGTAGAATCATTACAATGACTGGTCACAGGTGCTTATGGCATTCAGTACGAGATGCATCTATGCAAAACGTTGGTTTTAACTCCCGGTTTTGGTAAAAGCTCACTGTCTCGGCCACTGCACCTTTGTTTGGTGGCCTTGACTCTGGGCAATGCCAGTGACCCCAATCCCTACTGTATGTTAATCATACATTTCTGCCCGAGTGGTGTTTTCGTCTTCAGGGAAGGCTCGGGAGCTACATCTACTTAAAATGGAATGTCTCGGATTGATTAGGAAAAATCAGCTTAAGAACAGTTGATATCCAATAAATTCCATCAAATAGTTAGGCTATGATGAATAAAATTCATTCAAGATCCTTATGAGTAAATAACATTCAAATAACCAAACTTGCACATACCAATTGAAAGCCTCTGTGAGTATTAATTAGTCTCAAAATGATGCTGCCAATTTTAATAATCAGCAGTATTTCTGCCACTTTACTGTGCTGTTAGGTCCATTGACCACTCAACCAAAAAACTAAGGGAAAATTGCTTTTCCAATGTAGTATCTTGATAGTATATCACTTTGATAAGCTTATCAATTCTTCATTTTGGATTTGCGGGTATTTAGGGTCCGCCTTTGTACATAACCTCCAAACCTCGTTAATAGTTCCTAGCTCTTTTGCATGTCTGTATTACATATTCTGCCCCAGAACTTTCTTCTTTCGTTATCAAGGAAGTCTTGGATTACAATATTGTTTGGTTAACACTGTGTTCGGTTTCACAGACACTTAGGTTATAGCAGGTGGCACTTTCGCTAAACGGCAAAACAAGATGTTTACACTAGTAGCCCCTTAGTCCTTTTATACTTTAAAATATATTTTCTGCAATACTGCAGAATTCTTACGACTCCAGAGAAAACTCAAGATAGAAAAAGAGTCCAAATCAAGTTTGCGACTATGAGCTACTTTTGAAGAAGTTTTTGTGATAAAAGTTTAAATAATTAAGCACTTTCGTTGTCAAAAATGTTTGAGTCCATATTCGTGTTAAGCTTAATTACATTGCAGGTGTAGATAACTGAAAGGCTAGAAGTCAGTAATTTTAACACTTTTTGATTAACGAAATAAAAACTAGCGTATTATAAAATTTTGAAAATACAGAACTGGCCTTGGTGTAAGGGAGTTCATTTAATTATTTGTTTTAATGTATGTAGGCTGGCGTTAGCATTACGAAATCACTTGGGGTCAAATCATTTCGTTTAGTGGTCATTCGTTTTGCTCCTCCACCTGATAATGAAATTCGGGAACACACAGAGATTACTACTCATGATGGTTTTGGTTATTCTGTATTTTCTAGTCGAATTGGTTACTGGATACGTTGTTCATTCCCTAGCTTTGGTTGCGGATTCGTTCCATATGCTCTCAGATTTTATTGCGCTTTGTGTTGGAGTGGCCGCTTCTAGGATCGCCAAATGGCCTCGATCTTCAAAAAACACTTTTGGATGGCAGCGTGCAGAGGTGGTTGGCAGCCTTGTCAACACCATTGTTCTTGTTACTCTATGTTTTACCATATTCATCGATGCGATTGAGCGCTTCGTTGAGCACGAGCCGATAAAGGATCCTCAAATAATGGTGTATGTTGGGGTTGGTGGTCTTGTCATCAACATGCTTGGCCTACTTGTTATTGGAGGTCATTCGCACTCGCATGATACCCCTGCTCTTACGATGGATATCGAAGACGTACTTTATCGGTTTCGAATGCGTTTACTTCTTTTAATCTGCGAAAACGCTGTATACTAAAATCTTATTTGTTAGTTTAGGTAAATATTGAGGCCGGCATCAACGAACTCGAATACAACCTTGTTGAAAGTAAACCAGAAACAGGAGAGGCCGCGGAACCCATCCCAAACGGCAATCTGGGGTCTTACGAAGTAGTCGATTCTGAGTACGATCCTGGCAATGACGCAGACAAGATGCCCAAATACTGCTTCTGCTTCCGAAGGATGCGTAAACTGCGCCGGTCTTCTGAGAAGGATTTGGGGCATGAAAACTGTCACCTTGCACCCTGCTCCAACACTGCCATAAGGAAACCCCACAAAGAAGGTTCGCTTGATTAAGTTTGCAGTAGAAACGCGCGTATTTTTGTCGATTGCAAGTAACGATTTTAGGATCACGAATTGGTATTTTGATATATAGTTAAGTTTAATTTAATGAATTTTTACTCAGCTTTACCTTTTACATAAAGCTATCATTATTTCATATGCGACTGAGAATGTTTACCCTTGCTTTTGTTGTGTCATTGTCAAGTTGAAGGCTTGATAAAGTTGCCTTACCTGACTGATATTTGTTTTATTTGATTGCCAACACTGTTGCTATTCGTTTGTTTGCCTCCAGTATTGTAGCAGACTGTTTTTTAAGTTTCCAGAATTTCTGCCTTAATATTCAGACGATTTTTCATACCACTTAAAGTTATGCAATCCAACATAAAGTGTAACCTTTAATCTGTGGGTATTTGTCTAAATGGAGACTATCTTAACACAGCATGACGTCACATAGGACTAGCTCAAGAAGCATGTACTTCAGTAATGAGCTTACTACTATGTCTTTTTGATGCAGACTAGTTTTAATATGCTTATCGATCTTCGACCCAGGTGCCTTGCCTGGATTTTATGTGATTGAGAACTCGATCAAGGCTGTCCAGTCGTATATTTTTGTTCTTTGTAATGTTCATATTCATATAGCAGATACGAAGCGCGTCACTGGGAAACAAAAACGTGCGTTTTACTCTGCATTTGCTTCCGCTTTGTGTGTTTTGTATGCATTTACAGTTATGCACGCTCGCTTTTTAAATGCCATGGACAAATCATAGTTATTGGTTACATTTACTCCTTTCCTCACGAACAATTTTTCGAACTGCTACCTAATCCATAATTATGGAATCGGTTATTTTATATTCGGTCCTAAACATTGCCTGATGTGTTGCCTCGAGATTAGGGGATAGGTACATTTTCTTGGTTGCTTTTTCTTGGAGAAATTAGCTGCCGTTAAACGTATCACATTAACAAATTTGTCGATTTATTTCGTTCTTAAATCGGCTGCTTTAACTTTTGTTTAATTAGCTGTGATGAAGTTGTCGAAAATTTTATCTTGATCTTTTGAATTAATAATTTCATTTAAAATAGAATGTTTATTTTTCTCGACTGCACGCCAACTGCATGTCTTGCCTCTGTCAATTTCGTCATGCACCCGAATTTTGTTGTGTGCCATGGCTCGTCATATTGTTACCACTTACTTTTTTTCACCTCTTATGAACACTTTAACCCAGTACGTGTTTTTTCATACTCTAGGGCACTCCATGAATATGCGAGCCGTGTTCCTTCACGTCTTTGCCGACTTTCTCGGCTCAATCATCGTAGTGGTGAGCGCGCTGATTCTCTGGCAAGCGCCAGGTGATCCTACCAAACCGGAGAACAGATGGAAGCTCTTCATCGATCCGGCAATGAGGTGAGCTGAGTGTGCATCTCTGTCTCCGCACCACATTCGAATGTATTTCCGGCAAATTTCCCAAATCCTTATCAATTAAGCCTTAAAACCCCAAGTCGGTGCCGGGAGATGGCTGTTTTATGGTTGATAAAATCACATTTGCAACTTGTCCTACGAATGTTTAATTGCGTTTTTGCTAAACTACCTTTGTTACTACCTTTTGGATTCTCTTACTATTATAAATCGAATTAGTAGTAATAAGTCTTACTTTGGCAGTGGAATTTTCCTCAAACATTTCATGAAATTGTGCCAACCAATTAATGCGAGTACCAGGTTTTAATTCTGCAAAACGAACTTACATAATGCCATTAATCAGCATCAGCGAATGCTCATTTCTATCCTCTCGACAACCAGAACACTTATTGCACTATTTTTTGTTTATTTTAGCATAATCATGGTCATCATAATTCTGTATTCTACACTGCCGTTATGTAAGCTTTACATGCTTGATCCAGTATCATGGATATTAATACTCATGATTGATTCCTATTACGTGCATGAGGTGATGTTGGATTGCATTGTTTTTGAGTCACTAGTCGATTAATAGTATTCCAACCGAAAGGTCGTTTTCTAGGCACAAAAATGGTCCATGATTTTAATAGGGAGAAAAGTTGAGTGCATGATTATCCTTAATTTGGATGACTTTTTGGTGTCCACACCGTTTAAATGATTTTTTCGTCATACGAGGCCGTGCACATAGCATTATTTTTTTTGGATTCGGTGTTTTTCTTGCGAAACCTGAATAGGTGTTATTGGTGCTTTTCATGCACTTATTGTATGCGAAAGGAACCACACAAACGGGTGATCGATGCATCGAGCATTCAAAGCTAAATTCAAAATTAGATAAATCGTTTTCGTTTTAAGTGGACCAACTGTCAAAGCTCGTAAACTAACCCAATCACAGGGTTTATTTAGTCCTTGATCTTTTGAATTACCCCTCCATTCTGTTATTATTTATGGTGTGTCAGATCTCATCAATGGAAATTGTTGAGATCTGACTTTGTAAAACCTGATTTGCATTTCACTTAATTTTTCTAGCTTGAATTATTGTAAATTTTCTTCAATGGGCACATTTCTGTTCATAGTTGATCACTATCTTGAGTACAATTCGTGCAGGAATTGATTTGTGGGAAAAATCAGGCTGCATTATTTAGAATGTATCGTGCGGTTTCACTCAGTATTCCTTCAAAGCTATTGCTTGCACACGTACAGGCGTTGTCCATTGCATTCAGCGAGGGCTGACGTCAAAACGCACCAGCAGTTTTTGGGTATGGGTTCTTTCACATCGCTATGCCACTCACATAAATGCTTTTCCCATGTATGTGTATCAATGCTGCTTGTGGATGTGCGCATTCATCACGGTGTGTCTGAATCATTCCTTCTTTTTAATGCCAAGTTCATCTATCTGCCATGTAAGGGGAGCCAAATAATAGTAATAATTACATGCAACGGTGTGCTCTTTAATGTCTTTATGTAACCCATACTTAGCAGCAAAATTCGCCTCTGCAGGTCTTGCGAGATGCCTACTCCTATACCGGGACTGATAGAGTAGATAAAATGACACGGGTCACATTGAAACACCCTCATTTGTAATGCTCATTGATTCAATATTTCTCTTGCCTTCAAGTGTACAAAGCTGCACTCATTCTCCTTCAATCCGTTCCTAAGGAGATTTGTATTAGAAACCTGAAAAATCGACTCGAAAAGGTATGGTTTTTTGTACCGAATAATGTTTTTTTTATGGATTTCCTTGTATTACCAAAGTCTTTCTTACCTAGCTCTGTTCATCCATTCAAAATGCTATCTCAGAACAGAATCAGATCTTTTGCCATTTCGGTGCTTTTTGATTAATATAAATATACTTTATTCCATTTCAAACTGTGTCATTAAACGCCGACGTCCAAAATGACATCTCATGTCATTTGTTGACCTACGCCGTTGGCATACTTTCGCACCCTGGATCTCTAGAGGTCCGGTTGAGCTTTTAATCTTGCAATATAGACTCCATTTCTTATAATGTTTGTTACTGTGGTCGGCCTAAAGATCTGTGAAACATTACGCTATGTAGTTTTCACAACCGTCCAATTTGTTAGGTGTGTGATCGCGTGTGATACTGTACCAACTTCCTGCAGGATAGTAGTTTAAACAACATGGGGGCTTGTGCATGTTGATTCGCCGTATTCATAAACTATACACAAGCACACACATTGGACCCACTTACGTCAGGTTTTCGTATGCGGTGTGTGGACTCATGTGTCAATTGCACAGCCACCTTGTCATTGCCATGCGGTCAATTTAAGGTTTTGATGTCACGCACAACCACATTGTTCCAACTGCTTTGCATCTCTCAAACACCCTACGTTTTTTGCAATGTCTATTTTTTGAGTGGTCGGCTTGTCCACCGCTAACTACTTCATTGGCCTAATTTCTGTGTGATTGATTGAAAATCAACTTTTTTTCTTGCCTTATTTCTTCTATGAAACATATTTTGTTTAGCTCAAGCCTCATAATGCTATGCACCTTGAGCTAAAGTGATCTATTGTCTCGTGAAGATACCAACTAAAACGTGGAAGTGGCGTTCGAACTAATGGGCGTGTCGCAGCCTTGCACGGTGTGCTTACTCGATAATTTTTTCTGCGTTGTGCTAAATTTTGGTCTTACCTTCCACTAATGTACAACCAGAGGCAGCTATGTTCTCGGTTTATTTCTATCTAATTGTACTTTTAGTCACCTGCTTCAGCCTCCCTAATGTAATTGACAAGTGCTGATGATGAATTAATGATCTTTGTAAATTGGTACTGCCGTCTCACGTCTTAGGTCCCTTATATCTAGTAAGATGTGCAAGCGTTTTTCCCTGCACTGATGAGAAACCTCTGTTGGTAATTTCTCCGATTGTTCTTGCTGCTTCTCTTTCTCGTGTAATGTTTACTGTTTCTATGAGGTTTAAAAGTCGAATCTTCGTTCCACCATATCTCTGCCATCGCTAAAATTCTACAAGAAAAAAAAACAGTCCTGCGTTCGGTATGCTGGGAATCATGTGCTAGAATATAATCCTTTCGACCGCCTAAGAGTATTTTGACCCTGCCCAATGTTTTAACTTCCATATTTACTCGTGCTGCTGTTCTATCCATGGAAACATACTAACTGCTATCACCAGTAGCATCGAATGCTTATACGCCTGTTCGATCTTTCTAGATTTCCTGACCCTGTCAAACCTTTACTGCACTCATTCTAATCATTCGGCTCCGGATTACCACTATCGGCGTGTTTGTTCTCAACCCTTCATTGTAATGTACGAAACGCTTTAAACCACTCCGGATGCTGCAAGCTTGTTCTAGTATGGGGTGTTTTACTAAACTCACTTGATCCATCGCATTTAAAGTCGCATTTTGCGAGATGAATTATTCGTATGTCTTGCTCATGTCCAAAAACGCAGAATTTGCTTCATACGGGTTCGGTGAAGCGTTAAAAAGTGGCATTAATTTATAATTTTTTAGCACTTTGTATGCGCTAGTTATGAAGAGTTTTATCATTATCTTGACATCAGGCTACATATTTCCGTGTACTTTTTGTCTATTTTGTATGCAAGGGGGCAAAATTTAGTTAAACCCTCTCTACTATGACATATGCTAGTCATAGTACAATAACACGAAGTGTTTGAGGATGCTGCTTCATTAAATAAAATAATTTTCACCACTTTGCATTCACCTAAATCCTATTCTTTCTATTTCCTCATGGATTAGCTGCTCTGTGTGCGAGAATGACTTCCAAAGTTATCTTTATTTGTAGCATGCCAAAATTTCTACTCTTTCCTTTAACTCACATGTGGTGCATTCCCTGACTCGTTTTATTGGCCTATCTCCACTCCCCACAGTTAATGCTTCCTGCTATTTTGTCATAATCGCCTTTTTTACATTTCCCAGATCGATGGCATCGTTCGAGTGCATGATTTGCACGTTTGGAAGCTGCAAACCAACTGCATCATTGGAACTGTGCATCTCCGTGTCCGCAGTTTACGTAAGTGCATTCTCTAAAAAACGTCTTCTCTTTGATTTTGATAGCTGAAAAACAAACCTACAACGTCTGTGAGGCTTATTCATACGAAGGTGTCAGCGCTTATCAAAACTCCCTTGCGTTTTTAGATAAAGTTTTCATTCGTATTTACGTTAGCATGCCTCATTTGTTGTTCCTTAAATGGTACCAAAAAATTCTTTTCATTGCTTTTTCTACACACCTATGGTGAAATTGAATTCTAGCGATGACTATCCTAAAAGTGAAGTAAATACTGGAAAGAACGAACTTCAACAATCGTGATCTAGAAATCAAACTGGCATGTGTAGTTTCTGTAAAAAAAGTTAACTAACCCCAGAAAGCTCCCTAAAATGGTTTATGCATTCAAATATTCACGATTGCAATCTACAGGCACTTTCCAGCCTGACGAGCTTGCGAATTCCACTCCCATAAGACGCTGTGTTTCTGGAAACAAACAACCTAGCTTTAGTCATCTTTGCTTCTACCTCAGTTGTATTTCCCCACTGCCTACTTTGAGCGTGATTGTGCGATGTCAAGGGAGGGTAATAATCACTTGGGGAAATCGGAGGGGAACACCGGGGACGAGGAGGAGACAAAAACCCCCTTCCATGCTAAAGCACAAATCGTCTCACCCGCAAGTTCTGCATTGTGAGGCATGAGGCATTGGGTTGTCTTGTGACAGAGGGACTTTCGTCCGACCGATTTGCGAGTGATGGTTGTTCCTGAAGAAGACGAAGTTTTTCTCGCACACCTTTGGGTTGTGTCGTGTTGAGCAGATGGATCGCAACCTTCAAGAAGTGCGTGATTTTGTCTGGAGTTAACAACATGCACACACTCAAAGTGCGCATAGTCTTTTGGGAATGAGGTTGTGCCTGCCCAAGAATTGTAGAATAGTGGATGAATTGTTTGGGTGTTTGCTCAGCGTTTGAATAAAAGCTCTTTCTCGTCGAAAGGTGGTCAGTCCGCAAACGAAGCAAAAGTGGGGCGTCTTTATAATGCGTGAAGAAAGTGGAGACCGAATTGATAGTCCTTGGGGCTCGTTGTCTTCTATTAATGCGAGTTGGTGGAATCCATCCACTTAGTGCCTTCCACGGTCCTTCCAATTGATGTTGGTGTGAACAAATAGTTTCGTCACTCAAGTTTAACGTTGCCGAAAGTCGTTCCTGATACGCTAAACTCGCATTAATATAACTGACGTAAACACGTAGTTTTCTGTTATAGTTGAGGAAGGAGGGTCTTCCTGCTTGTGGTGCATCTCTCTTGGAGGAGTTTGTCACTAGAGTCAATCTGATTGATTTGAACTATTTTCAGATGGCATATTCTGCTACCGCACCTCCTCAAAGTGCTGTGCAACAAATTTTACGAGAAGCTTCTGCAGCTTTAGAACCGCGTCAAACCGAGTTCGTGAAGTAGACAAGCTGCAATCATGCCCATCAGCTTTGCCTGGCACTTTCGGGTATGCGAGTTAAAAATGGCAGGAACGTAGTCGAGAGCACAATAAAGAGTCCTGATAGACTGACGCAAAGCTGTGCCTAGTAGTGTATCTAGGCAATCCTAATAACGCGAGTGCCTACAAGTTGCAGCAAGTCATTGGATTGAGCTGTACCGTGAATTGTGCGAACTTTTTT